CTCTTCTAGAGCTGCTGCGAATGTTTTCGGTAATACTGAATGACCCTATGAAACGCAGAAGCTTTGGACTAGCAGTTGCATTCTTGTATATAATGTATATAATTCATTTAATTTTAATTTTAAGTCAAAGATCGAGTACTAGCCTGTTCACGATTCATTCCTCAACAAGGATTAGAAATACTAAACTTGTCTTTTGTTGTTTGAGTCCGAATAGAGACGAATGTACCTCGTAGTTTCTACGTTGAACTAGTGCACTTTTGTCTGTCGTTTATTGAACTTGGGTAATAACTCAAGTTTATTCGATACAGTAACTTGTTTGAGGTTTGAAACAGATTCAAGCTAATTTTTTAACGAGCATAAGTTGCGTCTTGAAGTTTGGCATACTGATTCCTGTTACTCTGATTAGGAATTCCTATTCTTATTCCCGTAGTATGCGCAAATATGGCTTGCGGCACTCCAGTATGGATTTCTTGCGTTTCAATGACGAAATTAATTCATTTTCCATGTAACTTTAAACACGTTTCAAAATGTACTAAGGACCAGGCAAATTCTTGACTTCGAAATTTTTCAGTAATTAATTTTCTTGTGGTTACTCACGGTTCATTGATTTGCATAATCATAGACATTCCATTCATTTGATCTTCGTGAAATGTGCCATCAACATTACTTATGCTGGAATACAATACGAAAATAAGACATATACGCGACATTCTTGAAAACGGTTCTCGGTTTTTGCTCTAATCACATATTTCCGGATTGCAGGTGGTCAGAGGAAGTGATCAACATTGGTCAGTTCCTGTGGCCGATGCGAATTCGTCTCGAAGCTTGGCTGAACAACCAGCGTCCCCTGGTGCACCAGTACAATTTTTCAGCTGACTGCATGATCGATGACATCAGCCTGATCGACTGCGACGGTTTGCATTGCGCTAGCAATTTCCTGAATGCAACCTGACAACCTTCCGCATTCTAGAAGAGCTGTATCACCCAGACTTGTGCCTCAGCAACCGCACCGAGAAATACCGATGTAAGCTGAACAAAGTATGCATCGAATGGGACCAGCTGTGCGACATGTCGGTCGACTGCTACGGAGGCGAGGACGAAGACTCAAGTCAGCACCAATGCAGTAAGTTTAAATTTTGCATTCCCCTCGTTCCTCGTCTTTTGCGCTGAGTGGTCGGTGCTACCGAAAACCGGAACCGGAATCTATCCTTGAGCAGAAGTTTTCTTGTTTGATCAGCACCTCAAGAATAAACCGCCCATCAGAATGCACAGAATGCCATTCTCTCTCTGTCGATGTCATGCGATGTCCAGAAACGTCCTAGATGCTTACCAATCGCAGCTGAAGCGTTTCTCCGAGATTACTGCTTTTGAAATTCATCGTAAAAGACGAATTATTACAATTATGAATTCGACAATTTTGTTGCGGTCAAATTCGATTTAGGATGACGATTGATTCACCCTTTTTCAAACGGGTCACTGTCAGATGCTGTTCAACTGGTGCAACTTCTGACCTACAGTAAAAGATCGTAGGTTTGAGCCATCAGCAAATCACTGGCTTTCGTCGTCCTTCTGAAATATATAAATGAGTGATGTTTTGTGGTAAAAGAAACCGCAGGATCCGTGCTGTTTCTACTACACAGCTTTGGACGTTGCGTTTAAAATAACGCACTCCTGGCATATGGTATATTCATAATCAAGCAGATCAGCGCCTCACCATAAGCTCCATAAAAATAAGGGTGTCACAGATGATGTCCATGAAGGAAATGCAAAGGAAACGGACATTCCACCCGCTACAGACTTCGGCTTCCATCCTTTATTTGAATGCTTCAGTTAGATCTGTCATTTGGGTGTGGCTCGTTGTTACAGCTGGCTCGTATCTTGCAGATGAATAATATATTTATTTCCGCGTAATAAGCATCTCGAAGTACGCTTAGTGTGTATGTTATGTGCGCACTGAGAACAGAACCGCATGCTACGTTGTTCTTCTTCAAAGTGATACCTTCGTGAGGGAATGCCTCATCGCACACAGAAAATATTTACCGCGATAAATGCAATTTTGTTTGACATTTGTTTCTCTCTGTCGACAATTTGTTTGCTTCCTCATTCACGGACAAAGCAATCGTAAAGAGGTGCTGCTGATGAAAGATTTCGAAATTCACCCTTATTCTGCCCTTGGCACTTTAACTCATTACTCTTGTCTTAACTCGATGGTATAAGAAGCAAGACTAAGCTAAATCATTCAATGCCTCTATTGATTATTTTTCAGAAATATTGAATGACTTCGCAAAATGCATTAATTTACAGTAACAGTAAACGGAAAACGTCTAGATTAATTGGAAACCAGTTGGTACAGCATCTTTGCAGCATTTCCAACATTTACATTTGTCAATATAAGTGAGGGAGCGTCGCCATTACACAGTGTGTTTTATAGTTAAGATATTAATTAGCTGTTTAGCCATTATTTCAGATAAAATTTCCCTGAGAAATCATTTGTATTGCAGTTTTGTTCGCAAGATCGTGAATATGCTCGAAAGTATCGGCACAGAGGATGAAGTGTTCCAAATGACTGCTGTAAATAATTCTAGCGCTTTCTCATATCCTGAACTGCAACAGTCTCAGTCCTTCACATAAACTATCCATCCGATTGCAGATAATACAATGAATATGTACATTACAAGAAAATACAGTAGAGTACAGTAAATTTGCCGCGGATTTGACATGCGTGGTAGATCGTCAAGTGCCTTTGAGGCGTATAGCATGGTATTACGAAAGATGTTGGAGAAAACTACAGTCAACCACCGTTATAAAATATCTCACTGAGGTGCCGTTTTCTCATACTGGGAATATGGCCACCCCCCTGAAATTGATT